CCCCTGGGTACAGTGCTGTGGCATCACAGCTCACAGCAACCTCCAACTCCTGGGCTCAAGCGAGTCTCCTGCCTCTGCCTCCCAAGTAGCTGGGACTATAGGTGCCTGCCACAGCGCCCAGCTACTTTTTAGTTGCAGCTGTCATTGTTGTTTTGGCGGGCTTGGGCTGGATTTGAACCCGCCACCTTAGGTGTATGTGGCTGGCGCCATAGCCCCTTGAGCCACATTTTGTAAAGACAAGGTGTCCCTGTGTTGCCCAGGCTGGTCTTTTAACTCCTGGTCTCAAGCTGTTTTCCCACTTTAGCTATACAAGGTGCCCAGATTATAGGTGTAAACCACCATGTCTGGCTAGCACTATATAAAATTTTAACATTTAAAAATCTCATTTCATGGCCAGACATGGTGGCTGACACCTGTAGTCCTAGCACTGTCGGAGACCGAGGTGGGGGGATTGTTTGGGCTCAGGAATTCAAGACCAGCCTGAGCAAAAGTTGAAACACTGTCTCTGCTAAAAAAGAAAAAGTAGCCGGGGGAGGCTGAGGCAACAGGATGAGCTATGATGCCATGGCATTCTAGCTTGGGGCAACAAATTGAGACCATCTCAAAAAAAGTCTCACTTCATTTTAAATAAAGTCTGTGTGGTAGGTTTAGACTGGTTTTGTATATGAGACAGATGAGGCAGATTTTGTGATTCATATACTAAGTGACTGCTAGAGCTGAGGGTAGAACCCAGGTTTCTTGAAGCCTAAACCAGTGTTATTTTTTACAATACCACTCTGCCTCTCCTATAAAAATAAAGGTTTTATTATTTTTTTTTCACTGTCAGACTGTTTTTTATTTCATGCTTTAAAAAACAGACTACATACAGGTGATTCTTTCGTCAAAGACACATCCCAGCCCAGGTGTGACTCAGGCCAGTGAGTCAGCAGAGGGCATCCCACAGGCTCACAGGGAAACCCCAGAAGATAGTTCCTGATTTTCTCCCTAAAGAAGACAGGCGCTTTAGAGGATTTTCTGTGTTTATCAACCAACCAGCAAGATGTTTACAAACAGACAAAACAAGAAACTTGACATTTATTTGACAAATTTTTGAGTTTAATTAAAAAATGACAATAACTGGTACAAGCATTAATTCAAAATATTTTCACTAAGCACCAAATAGAACGCTTCCCAATCTTTTCACCAAGAGCTCCTTTGAAAGGATGCCTTTAACTCAGTTTACTTAGGTTTTAAATTTAAAAATCTAAAGCTGTCAATCAGAGTTCCTAATCACCACAAGATGACCAGATTAACAACGCTGAGGTCATATAATGTGAACTATTTTATTTTATTCTATTCTAATATTTTAATTTTAAAGGTAACCATTGCTTCCACATTTAGTTTTATTTGGAAACATTTGTTTATGCTGAGGTATTCATTTTGTATAAGAAAATGATTTTCTAATTCTCTTATTTACATTTTCTAATCCCTTTCTAGTTTTTAGAAGTACCTAGATTTGATAATGAAAACCCATTAGAATACCTGGATGATACAAATCTGTGGATTCCTCAAAATGAAAATCACGACACTTGGATAAAGACACTGACTCGTGCTTTTTTGAACAGTGGAGGCACAAAAAGTGAAATTCTTCAATTATTAAAGCCAATGTGTGAGGTAAGAAAATTAGTCTGAATTCCTTTTTTCTTTCCTTTTCCCATTATTTTTGGCAACTGTATACCAATGTATGATCTATACATCTAAAAAGAGTGCTGTGATATTGCACATTGTGATTATGCAATCTCACTCCCAGTTATAAATTTATTAAAATGGGAGTTTTGGCTTTATATAGTGGGTTTTAGCTTTGGGGTAGCAAAATACTAGATGAGTTCTAAGAGGAACCTTAAATAATTTGTTACTAATGATATTTAAAATAAATACTGATGATTATAAATTGTTATTACTATTTTGAGACAGAGTGTCACTATGTTGCCCTTAGTAGAGTACTATGACATCACAGCTCACAGCAACCTCAAACTCTTGGGCTTAAGTGATTCTCCTGCCTCGGTGTCCCAAGTAGCTGGGACTATAGGTGCCCACTACAACGCCCGGCTATTTTTTTGTTGTGGTTGTCATTGTTGTTTAGCTCACCTGGATCAGGTTCAAACCTGCCAGCCCCAGTGTATGTGGCTGGCACCCTAACCACTAAGCACGGGTGCCAAGGTGATTATAAATTATTTATGTTAGCCAAAAGTCTGCTCTAGCTTTGTTTACTGCTTCTGATAAGGGCATAATTGCTTACTTTTCCTGATACGCTTTCTTGAGTTTGAAAAAGAGGTAGGTTAGCAATCAGCATTCCTTGTTTTATTTTTTAAGGTATTTTAATTCAGTAAAGAATAAAAGTACATACCAAATCAAACAAAGGGTTTATACACTTTTATCAAATGTGTGATCCAATAAAGTGTACCATAATGGTGCCCCTAAGATTAACCTAATTTTATTGAACATGATTCAATAGAACCGTGAAAACACAGTATCTGGCTTGGTCTGCTATTTGCCAGTTTTACATAACTGGTAGAGAAGTACTTTGGTAAACCATCCACATTGAAAGTTATTTAAAGAGAAGTCTTTGTTGTCTACAGAAAAAGTAGTGACAGTGAATTGGTCATTACATTCTCTGCGATATGACAGCGTGCTTATACCAATTCAACACAGTGGTACCGTGGACACACACATAACTTATTTTTTATTACAGAAAGAAGCTAAGATTTTAATAAAATTTTGACTTATAGCCAGAGGGTAAAATAATGTATATACACATATACATATATTTTTATCTCTCCCAACTCCTAATAAACTAAATTCTCTGGTCCTACAACTGTCTTTTTGCTTTTATCTTTAATGTAAAAAGAAGTGTGCAGTTAGTAATCAGTAGTCTATTTATGTGCATGGAGCGGCATGAATATGGCAGCTGTGGCATGTGATGATTCATCTATATGATGCCTATGGAGTGTGGTGAACGGCAAAATTAGAGTGACTACTGTTTTAGTGCACCACGTGTATTAAAAGCACTCTGCTGCACTTCAGAGGACACCACAAGTAATTACCCAAATTTCATACCCAAAATTGGGGATTTTAGAAAGTAAACATTTTTAATGTGACTATTGAAGTTCTTCACTGAGTGAAAAGGCACGAAAATCAGAATTTTAGCTTTTCTATTAAGCTTTTGATGTCTTTTCCTCCTTAAATCAGAAAATTGCTTTTGTTTTTTATAATTATTAATTTCAACTCTTACATATTTTTTTTAAGGAACATGTTTTATTTGTTCATTTCTTGCATTTGAATTACTCTTCAATGACATCCTTGGCCTGAGATTCTTTGCCATAATCCTTAACTACTACACAATTGCAGCCAACCACTTTATGGGGTTTCTCTCTCTGTCCGTTTTACAAAGTCCTATTCATTCCCCTAGTTTCTTATTGTTATCAACCTTAATTAGATTGATTTGGTGTTCAGCACAAGGGGCCTCCACCAACTTGACATACATAGGCTCAATCACCATTAGATGCAAGCACACAAAGATGGCCTCTGTGCTTGTCTAAGGCTTTGGCAGCTTCGCTGTTTTCACATACAAGGCGGTCATGGATGAGGGCGGTCTTCAGCACTTCTTGTAAAGCAGTATTAACATCCATTACACCTCTAGCAGCAGTTCCTTCCTGGGCTGTGGCAGTGGGTTACAGGTGAGTCTGAATCTTCAGTGGTGGCAGGGAAAGAGCTCAACTCTTAAATTTTTTTTTTTTTTTTTTGAGACTGAGTCCCACTTTGTTGCCCTTGGTAGAGTGCCGTGGCATCATACCTCACAGCAACCTCAAACTCCTGGGCTCAAGTGATTCTCTTGCCTCAGCCTCCCAAGTAGCTGGACTACAGGTGCCCGCCACAGTGCCCGGCCATTTTTTGTTACAGTTGTCATTGTTGGTTAGCAGACCTGGGCTGGGTTTGAACTCACCACCTTTGGTGTATGTGGCTGGAGACACACTACAGGTGCTGAGTCCTCTTAAATTTTTTTAAAGTAGGAAAATAATAAAAAATAAAATAGTAATAGAATAATTTCACTTTGTAAGCATATTTCATTATGGTAATGGTATAGACTGGAAATGAATAGTAGTGTAATTGACATACATGTTTGGCACTGATACAGTAACCTATTATATTGTTTTTAAAGCCTTACTTGGTGCACATATTTTTGCTTGTTTGTAAGCTGTACATTGAGTTTATGGCCAGCTTACAAACATAAAAAAAGGAACATAAAAAAGTTTATTATGTCAGCAACAGGACATTTTTAAACAAAATTTATTATTTTATCAAACTTTTCAGTGGGTATATTTGTACATCCTAGGTGAAAGCTGACTTTTGTCAGACTGTGCTTCCATACTTGATACATGATATTTTACTCCAAGACACAGATGAATCCTGGAGAAATCTGCTTTCTACACATGTTCAGGGATTTTTCACCAGCTGTTTTAGACATGTCTCACAAATGAGCCGATCCACAACGCCTAGAAACTTGGATTCAGGTATTCTGTTAAATTTCTAACATTTGTGCTGCTAACTTCTCAGTTCTAGAGAAATATAAATATTTTTAAGTTTGAATCTCATCAAAAACATTCTTATCCATTAAGCTTAATTGGATACCTCAAAATTTCTCTTTTCTCACCTGTAGAATGTCCTGGGATAATATTTAATGTACATTATAACTATATAAATTTTGGCTATTAATAATATGTTGTCTGACTGAGTGTATAGTTTGTATTAGGCACTGTGCTTACAACTGGCAGTATGGCAAGACAAACCCTACATTCTAGCAATGGAAGAAACACACAGAGAAATACACATAATCAAATATTGAAATTTTTGATAGAATTTTCAAATTTTTGGAGCTCTGCCCAACTCATTGAAAAAGCAACCTTTGTATTATAAAATCATGTCTCTGTGTTGTAGAAAATACAGAAAGATTGCAGAAATTCTTTAAAATTAATCCTGTGATCTAAGATTAATTATGATTCCAATTAATACTTGGTATATATTCTAATTATTAAAAACAAAAATTTAATTGTACCTTACTCTTACAACTTACTCTTCTTCTATAATACAGATTTCCCGTGGTAAACAATAATAACAGAAGAAATTCATCAGGGGATTGGGTACACATAACATTTAAATGCATAGTTAGAGGCTCATTATGAGTCAGTTTTTCAAACCTAAATTTTAAAAGAGGATACAAAATTAATAGATTTCTACTGTTAACTATGATTATTATTAATGTATTTTATATGTAAACATAAAACTAGGTACACATTTATATATTGTACTTTAAGACCAATTTAGTACTAATAAAAATACTGATTTACTGTGATATTTTGCTGCAACTTAAATTGCTCCTTCCAGTCTAACTGTGGTTCCCATCATTACAGCATAGATTGTGATTACTCAGTTCTTCAAATTGTTTTTTCTATTTTTACTACTGCATTGACATGACTCTAATATTATTTAGACTTCACTGTGTTATGCTTTACCTTCTTTGTGCTTTTCTTTTACTTACCAGCTGTTAAAAATAAACAGTACTATTTGGAAAAATATATTAAAACTTAGAAATGGATGCCCACCTTGTGGTTGTACTAGATTTTAAGTTGGTGATCTAAATGATCCATAATATGCTTGTATGAATGTTTTTTTTAAAGTAAATTTATTGCTTGTATGAATTTTCTTTAGGTCATTGAAATAAAAATTCTGGGGAGGGGGAGGGGAGGAGAGGAAGTGGATGGGTGGAGGGAGGGTGATTGAAGGGATCACTTCTGTGGTTTATCTCACAAGGGTACAAGTGAATCTTTCTAAAAGTAGAATATAAATGTCTTAACACAATAACTAAGCAAATGACATGAAGGCTTAAGTTAGCCAGTTTGATGAAAATATTTCAAATTGTATATGAAAATACCACACTGTGCCCCATGATTGCATTAATGTACACAGCTATGATTTAATAGAAAAAAAAAAGAAAAAAAATTCTGTAATAATTCTCATGGAGACTTTGCAAACCACTCAAAATAGATTTTTTATCTTTAATTGGGGAGATACAGCTATAAGTGATCAAGAATTAATAATAAGCATGTAAAACTTATTTTTTATTTAACTTTTCTTTTTTTTTTTGAGGCAGAGTCCCACTTTTGCCCTGGGTAGAGTGCCGTGGTCATAGCTCACAGCAACCTCAAACTCTTGGGCTTATGCAATTTTCTTGCCTCAGCCTCCCAAGTAGCTGGGACTATAGGTCCCTCAGCACAATGCCAAGCTACTTTTAGAGGCTAGGTCTCCCTCTGTCGTAGGCTAGTCTTAAACCTGTGAGTGCAGGCAATCCACCCGCCTAAGCCTCCCAAAGTGCTAGGATTACAGGCATGAGCCACCGCGCCCGGTTGTAGGTATCACTTTTTCTGTGAAACATTTTTTGTGTAGATGAGGTTCCCTCCTATATACAAATACCTCTATAACATTCTAAACCTTCCTTCTTATGGCACTTACCACACGGTGTTGAGAGTCTCCCAGGTTAGTGAGTTCTTTGTAGTCAGAAATAGTCTCTCTTATTTGTGGTGTTATACTGAGCCCAAACCACATGAAGGATCCCAGATAAATATTTATTAAATTGACAGATTAGTCCCCCTCAGAAGTAAAATGTAAATTACAATGTGAATTCTCGGTTTTATTAAGCATAACTTCTTTTAAAAGAAAAAAATGCCATTAAGTTTTATTTTTTCATTCAAATTTATAAGAACCAATTTTGTGTTAGGTATGGTTCACAAGAACCTTACTAGTGTAGAGGGAAACTGACACATAAAACAGAAGGAAGAAGGTGATCAAGCGAGAATGCCTGGGACTGAGAGGAGGTATCTGTGTTTGTTTGTCAGAGTCAGAGCATGTTTTCCGATGCTGCTTGGATAAAAAATCACAAAGAACAATGCTTGCTGTTGTGGACTATATGAGAAGACAAAAGAGGTAATGTAGTGAGTGTTGCTTCTTGAGTTTAGGGATCTGGAAGTATAACTGTTCACTGCTTGCTGAATTTTTAACATGATTATTTTTGCTGAAGTTGCTGCAAAGTGATATATTTAATTTATATGATGCTTATGTCTTCTTATGATAATCCATATTCAGAGTAGTTGAACTCTGGGTTTGGTTAAATCAGTGACAAAAACCCAATTGTCCCAGCTGAGCCAGTAAGAGTGATGTTTCCTAAATCAAGCAGCCTTTTGGGCTTTAGTTTATTTTGTCTGCATTAGTGGTGGTGGGAAAGGAGTGAATAATTTTCCAGGTTATGTTTAGTTGTGTTATCCCTCTTTTAAATTTTCTCTTTGCTTTTAAGTCTTAGAAGTAAATCAAGTTGTATAAATGTCTTTTTTATGTCATCTGTATTACAAGCTGTGTTTTTTTTATAGGGTCTCTAAAATCCATTATGCTATGAGGATGTTGATTTTTATTTTGGTAAATTGTTTTACCAATCTTTGTTTCTAGTAGTTCTCATGAGATGTTTAACAGTGTATGCTAGGAGCCGGATGTGTGGCTCACACCTGTAATCCTAGTACTCTGGGAGGCCAAGGTGAGAGAATCCCTTGAGCTCGGGAGTTTAAGACCAGCCTGAGCAAGAGCAAGACCCCACCTCTACTAAAAATAGAAAAATTAGCCAGGTATTGTGCTAGGTACCTGTAATTCCAGCTAGGTGGGAGGCTGAGGCAGAAGGATCCCTTGAACTCAGGAGTTTGAGGTTGCTGTAAGGCTAACACCCCTGTATTCTGGCCTGGGGCAACAGGGTAAGAGTGTCTCAAAAAAAAAAAAAAAAAAGAAAAAGAAAAAGAAAAAAATATGTGTGCTGGAATTACTGCAGTGGGTGGTCTAACTGATCCATACTACTTGAACATGGACCAGAACTTTGAAGAAATAATGTAATAGGCCTATCTTTTGAATAGGTAGTAATTAATGTCTCATGAGTGTACGTTAAAATATTATTCCCTCTGTATCCTGAATAGTAATAGTAAAAGAAGTTTAATGCCTTTCAGTGTTTTTGCTTTTGGTTAGAAAGTTACTGATTGACCTTATTGTTTTGTACTAGTTTTCCTCTGAGAAAGCCCAGAAGAAGCTGTAACTGGAGCTGGAGCATCTATTTTCTTGGTGTTGGGAGACAGTTTCACCTTTGAGTCTTCATTTCAGATTTATGATTGAGGTGGAATGCTGGTCACACTGGCAGGCCTGGGAAAAGATAAAAATTCTTTATATTCAGTTTTAATTAAGAATAAAACTTTAAAGAGGTTTCTTGAGAAAATATGAATGGAACATAGAATAAAGGGTAAGGTCTTGAGTTCAAGTCTAAGTTCAGTACTTAGAAGCTTGTTCTTTGGACAGATTTCTTGGTGTCTTTGAACCTCAGTCTTATCTTTAGAATCAGGATAATGTTTACCTTAAAGGGGGGCAGTTTTTGGTATTAAAATAGATAAGGTATGTAATGTGACTGACATGCAGTTAATGTAACAATCCTTTCCAAGGGCAGGTTATTTCACTTCTCTGAATTTCAAGTTCCTCAGAGATAATAACAGCTCAGTTGAGTGCTTATTGTCCAGTAGATTATTTACTCATCAGCTTTACGGGCATTATTTAATTGTTGCAGCTACTCTATGTTATGTGTTGTTTCAGGATTGACAATGGAGGAAACTGAGGTTTAACAAGTTTAGTTGCCAAGGATCATATAGCTTAGGTGATGCAGCAAGATTTGAACCTAGCTGTATCCTTCAAAGTCAGTTCTCTTAACCACCACCTTGTCACATCTCTATAATGTTACTTTTCAAAAAGATATTTATGATCCATTTAAATTTTGACCTGCTATTACTAAAGTGGAAGATTTTTATTAAATAACATTGGTAATAAGTTACAAACAAAAAGAACCATAATAGGAAAGGTATGTAATTGTGTTTTAGAAGAAATGGAACATTTTTAATTAACTATTTTAAAGAGAGAGAGAGTGTGTATGTGTGCGTGTATTACTAGCTATTCTGTGCATCCTATTCTTAGCCTGTGGTGCTTTATTTCTTGGTGGACACCAGATATGAATCTCAGATTTGTGTGGGCTGATGGTCTATAGATTTCATCAGATTCTCTGAGGCGTTTGAGGGAAAAAACAAAAACCTAAGGGATTGAGAAATAGTAGTCTTCAGCTGTTATTTATAATGTTTATAAGCTGTATGTTGGGGAAATGTGGTTTTCAGTTATTTGAATGTAATTTTTTATTTGGCAGTTGCAACCACCCACTGTATTCTATATCAATATGCTTTTCTTTGGGTATTGAAGTTAAAGAAATGGAATAATGTTGTATTTAATTTTTCCTTAGACCTTCTTTGGGAACAGTTTTTGATGATGCTTTCTGGCTGGATTTGAATTATCTAGAGGTTGCCAAGGTAGCTCAGTCTTGTGCTGCTCACTTTACGGCGTTACTCTATGCAGAAATTTATGCAGATAAGAAAAGCATGGAGGATCAAGAGAAAAGGTAATGAAATTTGGAATTTTTAGCTTTTAAAATTTGTGTTGAGACTGTTTCAGTAACGATGTATAATTAAAATTTATTGTATCTCTTACATCCTTATTTAGAAAGCATTTAGAGCACATTGTACCCCATGATTGCATTAATGTACACAGCTATGATTTAATAAAAAGAAAAAGAAAACATTTAGATAGAAATTTTGTTTTAAAGTGAAACGATATTACGTTGTTTTTTTTTTTTTTTTTTTTTTT